GAAATGGTCAAATGGACAATCTTTGCGGATTGGAAGACTAAGACACAAATACTTTATAACCTCTTATATGTCATATTGGCACTTTACACCTTTCTAGAAAATAATTTAAGGAACAATATGAGGTAGATTTACAATTCAATATAAGAAACATGCTCTTACATATACTAGGTAATTTGTACAGGTTTGAGGAAATTTGATGTGTCCAGGATAGCTCAAAATCATCATTATTTACTTGATAAATAATAACTGAATTTGATGCACAAAATAGGTTTAGGGATACAGAAGAAAATGTCTAAATGTGACTTATAAATATCCAACATACTGCTTGCAGTAATTTTGTACATTATCAATTATAAGCATTTTATATAATAAAAGCTATTTATCTTTCAGCTTATAAAAACTATTTTTTAAATTTTTTCCTATACTCAAGATAGATATTTATTGGCCTACCCAAATATGTTTTTCTATAATCAGGCTATTATGTTTGATTTCATAGAGCAAATATTTATTGTGTATCTGGCTTCTGCCTTGCATAATGCTAGACACTGGGGATAGAGTTTTGACCAAAACAGAAATGACCTCTGACATAATGAAATATAGAACCAGTTCAGATAAACTATAGAGTGTTTAAGGAAAAAAATAACTTTCATTTTTACTTTGATTTGGTCAGAATTTAAAATTAAAAGTTACAACAGAAGTTAATTGATCAATGTTGGTGGCAAATTCATGTTACTTTTGTGTTTTAAGTTTGATTTAACAAATATGTGTTGATTAGCTATTGCTTCAGGTTTGATATAGATACAGAACTGAAAAATATTCCTTGCCTTCATAGAGTTTAGTCTAGTATTTCAGTTATAAATTGTGTGCTATATATGTTAAATTCAATGTATGTAAGAGTAGTGTTGATTATAATTTACTTACTCTACATACAGAAAGATTCATATTTTTTACTTGACTTGCATGCATTAATCTAGTAGGAAATGTTTGATACACAAACCTGTTTAAGTGTTTGGCAGAATTTTTTAAAAATTAAATATTTCTTGCATAGAAGATCATATTTCATATATCTTACCATACTTAATTGTGACATTTATTAAAAAGAGTTCTGTTTTGTGAGCTTACTGGGAGTATTTTTATATAATATGATAAAAAATTCATAGCAGTTTTTTTCTACCAATTATTACAATGACCAAGATTCTATATGTGTTTCTCCTAATTTTCTCTGATATATTTCCTACAGTGGAAGTGAAATACAATAGATGGGATGACCCTGAGGTTATTTACTTATTCTTTAAGTCATTTCACTTTTCCAGGCTTTGTGCATCTTTATGTGAATGTCAGTTACATTTGTGCTTGTTTTCTATATTACTTAGAATTGGAAATCCTCTTTTTTGTCATGGTTTAAAAATTTAATTATTAATCACTTAATTTCATTCTAATGGAAGGGAAACTCTCTTGGCATAACACAGATCCAATAAGTCTTTAATAGAATTTATGATAACTCTGCTGTTCTTGTTTGTTGGTAAACATAGATCTGAAGTATGACCAGACATTTTCCTGATATCTTCTTGGATAAATATCTTACCAAGCATTTCTCTTTTTCTAATCCTTGTCTTTCTTTCTAATCTAAAAAGGCAGCCAAGCCATAATAGTCAAAAACATTAGGAAGCCCTTTTGTCCAGTAAATAGTCTGTGTTTCCAACAACTTTCTTACAGGTCAATATATTTCCCTAGAATTTTCTTAGTTCAGAAATAAATCTAACTGAATATTTCACCAAAAAAGCATATTAAATTAAAGTTTAAAATTTTGTATAGGAGCACCTGGGTGGCTCAGGCCAAGAATCTGACTCCTGGTTTCTGCTTAGGTCATGATCTCAGGATCCTGAGATTGAGCCCCATGTAGCTCTGTGCTGGGCATGGAGCCATTTAGGATTTTATCTCCCTCTCTCTCTGTCTTCCCTCCCACCCCCTTATCCCATGTGCACTCTCTCTCAAAAAAAAAAAAAGTATAAAGTTATAAAATCAATGTAAACTATACCAATGAATAAGTACAATATTAACATTTCCTCACCTATCTTTAGGTAACCAAATTGATCAAAAGAAAATGTAAGATAAAGTATATGTTAAAACTCTCCTATAAATGTCAATAAAATGCTCATTTTCTGATTATAGTGTTTCGACATTCACCAACAGAATACAATCTAAGCCAAATATAAAGGAAAAGACTATTTTCAGGGAAAATAGACTCATACACGAATAGACTAAATGTGCCTTATAAATCCATCATTAAATACTAGAAGTTTATAAATCTTCCTGACCAGAATTGCTAGCAGATGCTGGGTTTTGAATTTAGGGTGTTATCCAAACTGATCATGATTGTAGTCTTAATTTGAAATTTTAACATGTAAGATTATACTTGAATTATTACTGCCTCTTTTCTAAATCCTTTTCCAAGTATAAATCAAGCTTTTGAACAGAATATTTCTGAGAAACAAATGTCAACATTGGTAGCAGATTAATATTGTTGAAGGGATTTGATGAGATTATTATTCAGTATAATATAATCTGATTCCATTTAAATATTTTTAGATAGGAAGTTAGAGATGGATACTGTGTTCCTTCAATATGAACTATTTGAATTATAATGTGAATCCTGAAAAATACACTCTTTCTACAATATTTGAGCTATTGTTTTCTCCTCACATTTTTTAAAGTAGAACTTTTCCAAATGTAGACTGAAAAATAACCTTCATTTCCTGGATAGCAGTCAAAATCTCCTTTCTTGCCACCTAATGAAGAATTATTTCTAGAGCAGAAGAGCATCACCTAATGTCTCATGAGAAAGCTATTAGTATGAGATTGTCACATTTCATAGATAGAAACTTTAATGCCAAGCATTAATGTAGAAATCCATTTTCACAATCTTTCTTATGTCTTATATCTCCCTCTGCTTTGATGAAGATTGTATGGTTAGGTCATGAAAAATAATGAACTGGGTTTTAGAAGTAGAAAGATGATCTAATTTATTTTTGTTTCTTTTTTTTTCCTCACCTGAGAAAATGGAACCAATAGTCAGTGAAAGGATTGATGATGAGAACTGGAGTGATTTTAAATGTGGAAAGCCCTGCGACATCAAAATTAATCTGGTGCATTTTATAAATACAATGCAATAAGGCAATTGAGATGTGCCCACCTATCTTACTTCCACAAATACTCCTCTTACGGTGTCATATGTTCCTTTCATCCTTTTATCTCCCTCCTTGGTTTAAGGTGACTCTTAAAAGTTTAGCTAGGGATACTACACAAGAAAGAGATAATTTTCTCAAGGCCACCATGGGAAATAGAGTAGTTGCCTTCCCATTATTCATCTTCCTCTTCTTTCTCACTAACAGTCCTGCTTGTTTAAGTTTTTTTCAAGTAGCAATAAGTCCACCCAGCCTCTCTTGTAGTAGGAATGCTCATGGGACACTGTTCTGGCCAATAAAATGCCGACATAATCCTTGGGGAGAACATCTCTTCCCAAATAGAAAGTCAGAGCCTCAGTAGGAGGATGTCTCTTGCTTGCTCTTCTGTTTTCATCTTGTCTTGAATTCAGACAGACACTTTTAGATACATCAACCTTCTTGTGCCTGTAACAAATAAAACCAACACACAAAACAGATGTGGGTCCTGTGGACACCACTACCTCCTATAGATTTCTTATGTGAGAAAAATCATCCTCTAGCTATATAAATTATTGTTAACTGTTTTTGTTACTTGTAACAGTGTATTATGGACTGAAATATAATTTCTCTTAAGTTGTTTTTATGTTGGATAGAAGGGGTAGATATTGAGGAGGAAGATGCTATGTGTATTTCTAACCAATTTCTTCAAGTAGTAAGAATAGTATTTTCCAAAAAAAAACCAAAAAACAAATAGTACTTTCGGAGGGAATATCTTTTTTTTTTTTTTCTGGATAACTTAAAGCAATCTGCAAGAGAATTTACATATACTATCAGCTATTGTTCAGGGGGAACAAGTTAGCTGATCAAGGCCAGTGTGAAATAGAGAATCAAGTAAAAATTGGCTTTAGTGCATTTTATCCCATGGTCCTGCCATTGTTCCGATGAACCATCAGGTTTTTATTATGTCTTTGTGTTGTTCTTAAAGAATAACTGGCAATTCTATTGATTCCATTTGAGAGGATCAAAGATCAAAGAGCATTTCTTCATAATTGAAACATTAATTTTAGCTTTCATTTTGTTTTAATTGCTTCCTACTGACTCCAGTCGATGTCACATGGACTAATAATTTTTTTAAGAGAGACAAACAAGTTAAATGACCAATAAGAGGGAACTGGTTAAATATTATTTAATTTATACTCTAGCATATTGTAGTTTCATTAGAAATAATGTAGAATAACATTTAATTATCATTAAAGACTCACCACTTAATATTAAAACTAGCAGGTTATGAAATATTATATTCAATGTTATTCCAATTTCAGAAGAAAACAAAAAGGAAAGAGATTGAAAACATCTATACCAAAATGTGAAGAGTGTCTCTCTGGGTATTTATATTATAAGTGGTTGTATTTCTTTATATTTTTCAATCTTTCCCTATTTCTGCAATCAATTTATATGACTCAGTGATATTTTAAAAGATGTCTTGGCTATTAACAATGTAACTCTAATTTAACATTAAAATAGTTTAAGAATATAACCATGAGAGACTATGGACTCTGAGAAACAAACTGAGGGTTCTAGAGGGGAGGGGGGTGGGGGGATGGGTTAGCCTGGTGATGGGTATTAAAGAGGGCATCTATTGAATGGAGCACTGGGTGTTATACGCAAACAATGAATCATGGAACACTACATCAAAAACTAATGATGTAATGTATGGTGATTAACATAACATAATAAAATAAAATAAAATAGTTTAAGAATAAATCATTTTTATTGACTACCTTTTCATCAACAAAAAGTTTGACAAGAAATCTTTGTTTGTTTGTTTTAATACAGAAATCCTTAATGGTGGAGTGTATGTAGACCAGAACAAATTTCTTTGTTACACAGACACAATTCACTGGCAAGATATTGTTCGGAATCCATGGCCTTCCAACTTGACTCTGGTATCAACAAATGGTAGCTCAGGATGTGAGTAACATTATCTTTTTTAATGTCTCAAAATGTTCTTTTGCTTCTTGTGAAAACAAACAGCTTAAGTTTTCATGCCATTAACAATATTTTGAATTTTGATTGCATCCATTGAAATGTTCAGTTATATATAACAGAACAATCTTTTGCATCTAATTAACTCTCCTTTTGGAATGATAACTTCCCTTTTATAAATTCTAATTTTCTTAACATGACTTCTTTTGATAAATCTAAATATCTTACTATATTTCTAATGTCTAACTTTCCAATGTCTAAATGTTTAAGCATGTGCCGCATTGTCCATAAACTTAAGGCTGGTGTCTGACTACTGCTTCAATTCTTTGTGACCTATGTACCACTGAGAAAAAATGTGGTGGGACAAAAATAAACCTTTCTATTCACTATAATATTTTAAATAAAAAAAATAAAAGCTGATGAACATTTTAAAATCCCTAAGCCTCCATTTGCCCCTGAAACCTTCATGATAATACTTTATGACAATTCCAAACACTATAAATAGAATGGAGAATTATAGATTTCATAGAAGAGATATATGTTACATTCTGGTTTTAGTCATTAGTCTAATAAACTACCCAATTTCTCATTCTTTAAGTGTATTGTTTCTATCACAGATGATTTATCAGATTCAGAGTGTTTAATATGATTAAATGATAAGCAAGTAATATTTGAGCTATATCATTAAAATCTTAGCAAATTATTCTGCCTGGAACCTATTTCATTTTCATAAAGCAGGCTATGTGGTCCCCACATTTATTACTACTGACATTTGTATGAGAACAGAATCCTTATCAAGTGTTAACCTGGGTTTTGTATTTCTCGACCACTATCATATATTTCCCGCCTGAAATCATAACTAGTCTTCACACAGTTCAATAATTATTTGCAATAGTACTGATTGTGTTATGACACTTTTGTAGGAAATCAAACTCCAAGGGACAATATTAAATTTCATGATGGTCCTAATAATATAATGGGGAAATATGAATATATTTGATCCAAACTGACAGCTGTGTTTTTAATAAATGGCTAAATTTTTTAAAGTAGAGTAACATAATTTTCTTGTCACCTTTGAGCAGAAATTTGTATGAGATTTCGTCTTTACAGCATTCAAGTTGCCTACCTTGTAAAATTACACATGAATAAAAAATTGAATCTGTTCACACTAACAAGACAAATGATGTACTTCAGAAATGGCTTCCATTTTCAGTCTGCCCATACTATGGTACATTTTATATTTGGTGGGGGGTAATTATAATGGTTGCATAAGAGGAAAGACCTACTGACTTAGCTCATTAGAATGACCAGCCTATAATGCATGAATGAGATCAGGCAAGAATGAAGCCCAAGACAGAAGCCAAAGGGAAGCCTTACAGGATGTGGAACAGGAAAGGTCTGAGGCAGTAGCTGCACTTTCACAGATGGCATCTCTTTGTCCTATTATTTGTGGGCAATTTTGGATGGTTGTGCCTATAATTAGGCAACTGTAGCTGCATTTGTTTTGCATGCAAATAATTGCAGGTGCAAAAATTATAAATGCAGAGGAGAGTCATAACAATTGGTCCTTTACAAATTAACCACCAATTGCTTATTGAAGTTTTATTCTTTATATACTAGTTCTATTTGCTGACACATTAAATATACTGCATGACACCATAGCTGAAAATAATGAATTGGCTGGTCTTTGAATATTGGTTTCACCCTGATTGAATTTTTCCCTCTACCTTCTCTCCATGGGTGATGACAGGTATTCTCACAGTTTTAAATAGGTTCCATGCCCAGCATGAAGCCTGATGCGGGGTTCGAACTCATGACCCTGAGATCATACCTGAGCTGAGATCAAGAATCAAACCCTTAACCAACTGAGCCACTCAGGCACCCCTTCTCTCATGGTTTTAAATGCAGCTTCTACACTGATGACTCCCAGAAAACTACAGTCACCCAATGAGTCACCCAAGTTAAAAATCTGGTGGGCATCATAGACTTCACCTTCTCCTTGGTTTGTGGCATTTATTTAATCATGAAATCATACTGAATTTGCCTTTTCTTGATTTTACGTATTTCTTATTGCCATAGCTGTAGTTCAAGGCTTCATCCATTGTCTGAGTTACTGAAATAATCTCTGAATTCTTAATAATTTTTGAGTCCACAAACCCTGTGCAGTCTGGTGAAACCAATAGCTTCCTTCTTATAATAATGTAAAATTAATAAATAGGCAAAAAATATTTTATATCATAAATGCATAAAAATCAATCAGTTCATAAAATAAATTTTAAAGGATTACAAGGCAAATAAATTATACTGAAATACATTTATCAACATTCTTAAAAATAATGTGATATGGTAATATGCTTCATTAGTAGGTTAAATTAAAAAAAAATTCTAATAGTAGGATTAACAGGCAATGTAGCTTTGTAGCAGTGATAGGCCTAAATATTATTTTAAAAAGGACAGTCACTTTAATAAACGGTGTTTTCACATGTACAAGATTGAACTTAGACTTTTACCTTACCCTATATGAAAGAAATTAACTCAAAATGAATAAAAGACCTAAACATAAAACCATAATCTATAAAATTCCTAGAAGAAAACATGGAGGAAAAGCTTCATGACATTGGATTTGGCAATAATTCTTGGAGCTGCCACCAAAAGCAAAGACAACAAAGGCAAAAAATAGAAAAAATGGGGCTACATCAAACTTAAAAACTTCTGTGCATCAAAGGACATGAGCAAGAAAGTGAAAACTTACAGAATGGAAGGAAAATTTACAAATTCTATATCTCATAAGGGGTTAATATCCAGACTATATAAAAAACTTTTACAACTAAGCAACAACAAACAACCTAATTCAGGAATGGGCGTGGACTTCAAATGGCATTTCTTGAAAGATGATATACAAATGGCCAACAACCATATGAAAAGATGAAATCCAAATCCAAGCCCACCTTACACCCGTTAGAATGACTATTATCAGAATAATAGAAAATGACAAATGTTGGTGAAGATGTGAAGAATTTGAAACCTCTGTGCACTGTTGTGAGATTTTAATGTTGTAAAATAGCTATGGAAGATAGTATGGTGGTTCCTCAAAAATTAAAAATAGAACTACCATATTATCCACCAACTCCACTTCATGGTATATGTCCAAAAGAATTGAAAGCAGAGTCTCAAAGCATTATTTGCACACCTATATTTATAGTAGCATTATTTATAATAGCCAAGAAGGGGAAACATCCCAAATGTTCACTGATGAAGGAATGCATGAACAAAATATAGTATATATACAATGGTACATCATTCAGCCTTAAAAAAAGGAAGGAAATTATGATATGTTACAACATCATTTGCTAAGTAAATTAAGCAAGTCACAAAAAGACTGTATGACTACTTATATGAGGTATCTAGAGTAGTCAAATTCATAGAAACCAAAAGAAGAATTGTGGTTACCAAAGCCTGAGAGAATTGGGAAATGAGGAATTTCTGTATAATGAGTATAAGAGTTTCAGTTTTGCAAGATGAAAAAGTTTTGTAGATCTATCCCACAACAATGTAAACATACTTAACACTACTAAGCTTTATGCTTAAAAATAGTTATGACAGGGACATCTGAGTGGCTCAGTCAGTTAAGCATCCCACTCTTGGTTTTTGGCTCAGTTCATGATCTCATGGGTCCTGGGGTTGAACCCCAAGTTGAATCTGCTTGAAGATTTTCTCCCTCTGCCCCTCTCCCCACTCTCTCTCTCAAATAAATAGGTAAATAAATCTTTTTTAAAAAAGATTTTGACAGTAGATTTTATGTTGTGTGTTTTTACTGCAAGAAGAAAGAAGAAAGAAAGAAAAAGAAAGAAAGAAAGAAAGAAAAAGAAAGAAAGAAAGAAAGAAAGAAAGAAAGAAAGAAAGAAAGAAAGAAAGAAAGAAAGAAAGAGGAAGGAAGGAAGGAAGAAAGGAAGAAAGAAAGAAAGAAGGAAGGAAGAAAGGAAGGAAGGAAGGAAAGAAAGAAAGAGAAAGAAAGAAAGAAGGAAGGAAGAAAGGAAGGAAGGAAAGAAAGAAGGAAGGAAGGAAAGAAGGAAGGAAGGAAAGAAAGAAAGAAGGAAGGAAGGAAGGAAGGAAGGAAGGAAGGAAGGAAGGAAGGAAGGAAGGAAGAAAAAGTTTTATGATACCTGTAAGAACTGGAATGCAGTATGAATACATCTATAGTTTCTATGCATCACAGTGTAGCTGGTGCACTTATCTTCATAATTGATGAAAATCCTATATTTAATAAGAGATTAATGTGAATAATAATGTAATGATTCCTCATTCAAGTTCAAGGACCTCCTAAATTATATCCATAAGCCCTTTAGGGGCCCCAGGCCTCCTGGTTAAGAGCCCCCATGTTTAACTACTCTCCTTACCTCCGGTCCTGACAAATCCACCTGACAAAGTGCCACCAAGAACTCTGTTTAATGGATATCTAACCATGACCCTGTCTAAAAACCCTGTCACTGCCACTGACTAATGTGGGGTCAATTCTTAACAAAACCAAAGGCTTGGAGTTTTTAGCAGATTCCTGCTTATTTCTCACCTCAGTGGAATGAGTTCTTATAATTTATTTGTCTGTACTGCCTTTCCTTTTCTGTTTGCCAGACTAAATTTTGTTCAAACTTTAAGACACTCATCAATTATCATCTCTTCTAAGAAGTGTTCTCTTCTATAGGCTAGATTAGGTAACTTTTCTCCCATAACCCCATAAAGAGCAGTGCTGAAACCTGGCATTCTTACTTTAAAATGAAAGTCCTTGGAGACAAGGCCCAGGTCATCATTTTGTTCTATTTTAGCACATAATGGATGGATAAAAGTTCTATACTGAATAAATAGACAAATATATGAAATAGATCAGTTCATAAATAAGAAAATCGGATGAATCTAAGTAATACTTTCTTCTATCCATCATTTATATGTAAAAGTTATAATCCACAGATAGGCAGCTTATTCATTTTAAGTCTTTTTC